TCTCTCTCTCTCTCTCTCTCTCTCTCTCTCTCTCTGCCTTCTGGATGCCATTGATGTGAGCTGTTCTGTTCTGCCACACCTTCCCTGGCATGATGAACTGAAATTTCTGAAGCCAAGAGCCAAAAGAAATCTGTCCTCCTTTAAGTAATTTTGCTCAAATATTTTGTCCCAGTGACTAAAAACTAGCACAGTAATCCATTGCTTCCACCTGGGGACCAAATTACCAACATATAGACCCTTGGAGGACAAAGCAATAGACAAATGATAGCAATAACTACTTTGTATTGAGGAGCAGAAACAGCTCTGGACTGGACACAGATATCAGATTTGCTAATCCAACCTTAACTGGTTATTAGCATTCATCAGAATGATACTGTAACCTTTTCTTTTCATCAAAACACCTTCCCAGTTTCTATAGTTTAGTATTTTGGCTTTTAAAGGATATAGTATTTTAACCAATAATTTGATACTGGCTTTTATTAACTGTAATGTTTTCAATCACACTTGAATGATTAACAGTAAGATTTTTTTCATTCTTGCTGAATTCATGAACTACATGTAATCCTCCAAAAGCAACCTAGGAGTAGCCACAGGACTCTAGGATTTTTCCTATCTGGGGCTGTCCTTAACTATAGCTCTCTCTGAGATGCTATCTGATTTTGTAATCCATAGTAAGTAGATGCTAAAGCTAGAATGTCAATAACAGACAAGTCATTTTCTCATGTACAGTACTAGGGTTTGAACATAAGGTCTTACATATAGTTAAACAAATGCTTTACCACTGAGGAACACCCTCAGTTCCATACCATGCATTCCTGAGTTCCTCCAACATAGAAGAGAAACACCAGCCCTCATATTTGAACTAGATCAGTTCTGATAGTCTCCTGCTTTCATGGATTGAGACCCAGCCTGTTCCTCTTTTACTCTTTCCTTGCTGGCCGCCATGAGGTGAGTAGCTTCCTCCTCTAAGCCCTCCCACTTCAGTATAGGGCCTCCCCCTAGGCCAAATAGAGCAACAGAGGCAGTTAACCATAGACTGAAGCCTCTGAAGCTGTAAATCAAAATAAATCTTCCCTCTCTTGTGATTGCTCAGCTTTATGATTATCTCAGGTCTTTTATCACAGTGACAGAAAATCTGACTTGATACTTGTCTTTGTGCCATTTAAAAACACATTCTAAGAGGGAATTGCCAGGTCACGAAATACTTAGAAAATGATACTTTGTGGGTTTAAACTTGCATTGACTGTTGTTTCTGCCTTGCAGTTTAGCTACTTGGAGAAGCTTCTATTGGTTCATGGAGCTTGGAATTATTTTCGAGTGACCAAATGCATATTGTATTGTTTCTACAAAAACGTAGTGCTGTACACAATTGGGGTAAGAAAGGAAATGATTTCTTTTTCTATCATTGAGGAATTAAGTCTTTTTTTCTCCTGATGACAGGCTTAGTAGTTAGTAAGACTTTTTCATGTTAAAACAAAATTTCCTTAGGTCAATTGAACTCAGGTTCTCATGTTATTTATCAACTTTTTCACTCAGATAATGCTCTACAACTGGAGCCATACCTCCACTTAACTGGAGATAAGAGTATCTAAAATATGTTGGCCTGGACTGGCTTCCAAACCAAGTCTTCAGATCTCAGCCTCCTGAGTAGCTGGGACTTCTGTGCTTGACTTCTTCTCTCTTATTATAAAAACAATGATCTTAGAGTATACACTGTGTTTAACAAGGTAGCTATAATTTGAGCCATGTAAAACAAATCTCAATATGATTAAAGTGACTCAAGCCATACCAAGCATCTTCTGTGAATATAATAGAAGCAACTTACACATTAAACCAAGAAATCTCTCTGGAAAATTCCCAAATATTCGAAGACTAAGTAACAAACTTCAAAATAACCCATGAAGAAAGAAGTCAAAGGAAAAATTAGAATTTTTGGATTGAATGCATATGAAACTGTAGTGAATCAAAATGTGAGAGATGCTACTCAAACATTAGTTCAGAGGAACATCATAGCAAACAGCACATAAAATACAACATGTAAAAATGCGTGATTTATAAGTGATTTTTTGGTAACTATTCCCATATAACACATACAGATTTTACTTGTTACAAATTTACCTTTGTTTCTTGATTTGAGAGATTTGTTGTAACGTGCCCTGTAACAAATGGATACTTTAGGACAAAGATTCATGTCATTATCAAAGTAATTGGCATTTTAAAATCATAAGTAATAAGCTTTATCAGTCATAATTTATGAAGGGACACTTATATAGCCCTCTAAAATTACTCTCTACCAGTGGAGAGTGTGGTTTTTTCTGTGTTACTTTCCTTTTCCTTGGTGCAGGAATAGAACTCAGGGACTTGCACTTACTAGACCAAGTCCTCTAGATTGACAGCCCAGCCCACCACTTCCTTTTAATTAACAGCTATTGTTCATTTGGCTGTCTTTTCTTCCAGCTTTGGTTCACCTTTGTTAATGGATTTTCTGGGCAGATTTTGTTTGAGCGTTGGTGCATCAGCTTGTACAATGTGGTAAGTGGTCTTCCTTCTCTATCAGATAGCATACAGAACTTCAGGAACATTCCTTCACTTTTTGTCTGGGATGTGTATCTAAGCTCATCATCTGTGCACTTAGCAGGCAACACAAATAAAACTATAGGGCCTTTGCTGCTAGGACAAATCTTGGAGAAGCTCAAACTATACTCCTATTTTCACACACAGCACATCATTCCAGAGTAAGTGAATGAAATGTGTCCCCCAGCTGTGGTGGTATCTGAAACCTCTTTATTCTGTTCTTGTCCAGTGCTTTCACACACACACACACACACACACACACGCGTGCACACTCAGGTGTGTGTGTGGTGTTGGGGGGTTCCTAGGGCTCAATTTTGCTCAAGGTTAGCACTCTACCAGTTGAGACACAGTTCCACTTCTGCTTTTTCAGGAGGTTAATTGGAGATAAGACCTTTCTGGAGGTTAGTTGGAGATAAGACCTTCGTAATCTTTCCTTCCCTGGCTGGCTTCAAACTGTGATTCTCAGATCTCAGACTCCAAAGTAGATAGGATTACAGCTGTGAACCACCCAGCACCCAGCTTGTTTTCACACTTGTAAACTGACTTTACATACATACGGCCATTCACTTAATAGCATAATTTAAATTTACCTATTTTTATGTTTATAGTTCTGTTGTCTTTTAGAATCTCTGGGTTAAAAATTTATCTGTGCAAAAAGTTTGTATTAAATAGTAATCCATTTTCATCTCTTATCAAAAGTTGCAAAAGAGGTTGACAGTTAGTTCTCTGTATCCTCTATCTAGCTTTCCTTATACCTTAATAATTATAAAATGTTATCTTACCAAAGCAAGGAAATTGACATTTTACAGTATTATTTACTCAGTTACAGTCTAAGAGCTCCTTTTTTTTAAGATCTTTACTTTCTATGCAGATTTTCACTTCATTACCACCTTTGGCTCTGGGAATCTTTGAGCGGTGCTGCAGTGAATCAAGCCTTCTCAAATACCCAGAACTCTACACTATTTCACAAAACGGGGAAACTTTCAACACAAAGGTAAATGGAAAATGTATAGTTGTCTTTCATTTCAACTTTTTGTTTGAAACATACCTTTGGACTCTTCTGATGCTTTAGAAAAAAAGTAATTTTAAAAACACAAAAGGATTTAGTCTGTGTCCTAGTTTAGTTTATCTTGGAAATGAAGATTCAAATAATAGAAATAACAGTATATGGACGACGGGGTGGGGGGGCGGTGGGGGGAGATGATCTTATGAAGGAGAAAGATGTATATGACTCAGATGGTACACTAAACTTGCAGCATGGTATTTGAGAGGAATTCCTGGGGAGGATAAAGATGAAATTGAAGGGGGTAAGGTAGAGTTTCAGGTGAGACATGATTGTTACATTCTCTAATTGACCCTTTCATCAATAAAATGACCTTTGTTTTTCCTTGTAGTATTCTTCAAAATCTACATTCATGTAATATATCACTTCAACTCCTCTTGCTTATCTGTATTTTCATATTTAAGTTTATTGTTGGGAACTTGTAAATTTGCTTTGATGTCTAGCCTGTTACCATGTTAGCTGGATATTTAAAGCACTCACATTTAATATTTAATATGGTTTTTGGTCTTTTTTTTTTGGTGTCGGTCCTTGTTTGGGTGCTGTCCTTGAGCTTTTTGCATTTGAGGTTAGCACTCTACCACTTGACACACAGCTCCATTTTTTGCTTTTTTGGAGGTTAATTGAAGAGAAGAGTCTCAGAGACACAGCTCCATTTCTGGATTTTTTTTTTTGAGGTAAATTGGAGAGAAGAATCTCACAGACTTTCATGCTGGGGCTGGCTTTGAGCTATGATCCTCAGCCTCCTGATTAGCTAGGATTATAGGCATAAGCCAGTAGTGCCCAGCTCAATATACTTCTTGATGTGGCTAGGTTTGAGTTTACCATCTTGCTATTTTATTTGATCTTTAACATAGGGCCAGGGATTGAACCCAGAGCCTTGAACTCACTAGGCAAGTACTCTTCCATTGACTTATACCCAGCTCTATTTGTCTTACCTATAATTTTTCTGTCTGCTTTCAGATAAAAGTACTTTTCATGAATTCCAAATTATTTGTTGTCTTTAGAGATAACTCTTCACTTTTATATCTTAGAAGTTGCACTGGGGTTTATATACATTTATTATAGTCTACTTTGGAGTGATAAAATACTAAACACACACTGTAAGTAAATTAACAGCATATTTCCATTTCTCTCCTAACTTTTGGTGTTTTGTTTTCATGCGTGTTTATTTCATATTTTGTAAGTACCTTGTGTGTGGTATTGTTCATATCTTGCTTAAGTTATTTTATTAAACTGGGTGCTGGTGGCTTGCTTGTGTCTATAATCCTAGCTGCTCAGGAGGCTAAGATCTGAGAATCATTGTTTGAAACCAGCCTAAGCAGACAAATCTGTGACATTCTTAGCTACAATTAATCACAAAAAGCCAGAAGTAGAGCCATGGTTCAAGAGTTACAGCACTGGCCTTGAGCAAAAGCAGCTTGGGAACAGTGCCTCAGCCCAAAATTCAAGCCCAGTACACAAGAAAATTATCTCATTAACATAAATTAATTATACAAAAGGGTATTTCTGTTTTATGTTGATATACATGCCTTCCTACATATGTCTGAAAGACCCCTAAAGCCCCTTGGGAACTATGACTGGCAGGATGGAGAAAGCCTGAAATCAGCAGAAAACTGCTGGTTGTGTGACAGGATATCTGAGTAAAGACAGGGGACTCTGACAATCCACAGTAATCCTGTCAGAAGGTGGATGAGTGCCTGTGTGTACTTAGCTCACTGCATGCATCCTGATACTCTGTTATCTGTCCCTTGGAATGGGCCTTTCTATGTATAACCAAAACCAATCCATGTCCTGTCTGATTCCTTAAAAGTAGAGGATGGGAAAGACTCCTTTCGATTAATTATGTCTGTTGACTAAACTCATTCCTCGCTCTCCTGGGTAAAAATATTGTTGCATGAGTAATTTTTCATTTGTTAGGGCATCTGCTGGATGGAACTGGCCTATGCCCATAACTGGGTACATAAGTGGTATAGCAGGGTCAAGGTAGGTCTTTGTTTAGTGTTTTGATGTACTTCCATGGTGATTTCCATAGTAGGTATACTAATTTACATTACCACCCACAGTTCCTTTTCCCATTGAATCTTTGCCAACATTTGTTGTTTTCATACTGATTGCCATTCTGGCTGGGATGATTACCACTTCTGGGGCTTGACTTAACTGCCTAGGCACTGCCCCTGAGCTTTTGTGCTCAAGGCTTGCACTCTACCACTTAAGCCACAGCTCCCTTTGACTTTTGGTGGTTAACTGAAGATGAAAGGACTTCCCTGATCTGGCTGGCTTTGACCTGTGATCCTCAGATCTCCTCCTGAATAGCTAGGATTACAGGTGTGAGCCATGGTGCCTGACTAGATTTTTGTGTGCGTGACACTTTAATTTGCATTTTCTTTTTTGTATTATTTAATTTAAAAGTGATGTCAGAGGGGTTACAGTTACATAAGTAAGGTCATGAGTACATGTCTTGTCAAACATGGTTATCCCCTCTCTTGTTTTTCCCCACTTTCCCTCCCCCCCTCGACTCCTCTCCCACCAAGTTGTAAAGTTCATCTCCAACATAGTGTTTTGTGAGTATTACTATTGTCTTGGTTCACCCTTTGTCCTTTGTCTCACTATTTTGTTATTCACTTTTTCTTCCCAAATCAGATAAACATATATACGAGACACAAGGTACCAAAATCAAAAACAGTGACAACAGGAGATAAACAAGAAAAAAAATGAAAGAAAAAAAGAAATAATTTCATATAGTACATTAAAAAACAAAAACAAAGAAACAAAAAAAACCCCTGTCATTTCCCTATCTTGGAGTTCATTTCGATTAGGATCATTTAATATGGTCATATGAACATAGCTATTGAGCTATTGTGATCCTCTGCTAGGACTATCCTAGATATATACTAATTGTTACAAATGAGGGAAACCATGACTTGCTTTACTAAATAGGATTTTTTCCAAGTCTTTCCAGTTCCTTACGAATGGGGCAATGTCGTTTTTGATGGAAGCACAGAATTCTATTGTGCGTGCACGCACGTGTATGTGTGTGTTTGTGTGTGTGTGACACTTTCTTGATCTATTCATCTACTGAGGGGCATCTGGGTTGGTTCCATATCTTAGCTATGGTAAATAATGCTGCAATGAACATAGTTGTGCTGGTAGCTTTAGTGGGGCCAGGAGTGGGGTTGCTGGGTCATAGGGAAGGTCATAGGGAAGGTCTATATTTAGTCTTTTTTTTTTTTTTTGTCAGTCCTGAGGCTTGAACTCAGGGCCTGGGCATTGTCCCTGAGCTCTGCTTGCTCAAGGCTCACATTCCACCACTTGACCCACAGCACCACTTCCATCTTTTTCTTTTTTTTTTCTTTTTAATTTAATTTTATTTGTGAACATACTGTACAGAGCAGTTACAATTACATGGGCAGGATAATGCGTACATTTCTTACCAAGCATTGCAGCCTCCTCCTTTGTTTACCCTTCACATCCCTTCCCAGCCTCCCCCCTCCCCCCCAATCCCAATCCTTCTCCCTCC